TCTGTCCTTACCAATGTCTCCACCACTACAGGCACCAGGCTGCCTAGGAAGCCAGGTGGTGCCTTTAAGATCTCCATGGAGAAACGCACAGCTCGACGGAGGATCCGACGAAGAACCAGCCTAAAGGGGTTCAGAGCCCAGACATGAACCCCTAGCAGCTCATGGTCAGCAATATGGGGAGTGGGAAGGACAACATCCACAGTGTGCGCTCCCACCCCAAAGCTTTCCCTCTCCCCATTCCTCCTACTGGCTCAACCAGACCCACCTCTCCTCTTCCTTCCCTCCTCCACCTGCGACCCCCAGCAGCCCCTGTCCTCTCTGTAGCCCTTCCAGACTCACGGGGGACCTGACATCCCAGGGAAGACGCCATCAGAGATGCAGACACTGAGTGTGCGGATGTGGTCAGCCACCACGCGGTACGCTGTGTCTGTGCGCCCCTCGTCTGCCACCCCTACCCGGCCCAAGTAAGGGGGTGCCCTGCAGCCCTGGGAAGCAGGAGAGAAAGAGTCAGCCAGTGGCCCTGCCTGAACTGGCCCAGGTAGGTGCTCTTTATGGCCTCTAGAGCATCTGAACTCAGCCCTAAAGCCAACCACATCCAGAATGGCCTTGCCAGTCCAGTCCTGGGCTGAGAAGCCTCACGGATGAGCAGGAGCCAGGCCCTGCCCTCACGGGGCTCATATTTGGTGCTACAAGTGAACATATCTGTGATCATTTACTGAATTTCTACTACCAGAACTGGGTGAGAACTTGAACAACGTGAACTCTAATCCCCAAAACAGCCCATTCCAGGAGGTATTAGTATCCTTGCTTTACAGAAGAGGAACTCAGTGACACAAGGCTACCCAGCTCTCAAGGAGCAGATCTGAGATCTCAGCCAGGCCTCTTGGACTCCAGATGCTCTCCACTGCCTGTTCTTGCCTCTCCCATCTTTTGTGGGGGTGGGCAGGGAGGGAGAGTGTAAGCTACATACATGGAAATGCTCCAAAGCAGGGAGCTTGATTCACCTAGCTCCAAACCTCTCTCTTCCCCAAACTTCTTCATCTAACAGTCATGCCATTCACTGTGTTGCTCAATCAATTGTCTGGGAGCCATCTTTGAATTCTTTCCCCTACCCATCGTAATCCATCAGTGGGTCCTTTTGCTTCTACCTCCATGAGATCTCTCAAATCAATCTACTTGTCTCTACTTCCACTGCTGTTAGCCGAAGTCATGCCCTGTGGTTCTTGCTTGGATCGATAATAGCTTCCCAATTGATTCCTAAGTTTCTGTTCTCATCTCCCTCCAGTTCATCCTCCACACAGCAACAGGAGTAGGCTTTTAAAAGTGTACATCATGCTGGGCGTGGTGGCTCACACCTGTAATCACAACACTTTGGGAGGCTGAGGTGGGTGATCACCTGAGGTCAGGAGTTTCAAACCAGCCTGGCCAACTTGGTGAAAGCCCATCTGTACTAAAAATATACAGATTTTTTGTGTGACGGCAGGTGGCTGTAATCCCAGCTACTCTAGAGGCTGAGGCATGAGAATTGCTTGAGCCCAAGAGGCAGAGGTTGCAGTGAGCTGAGATCATGCCACTGCACTCCAGCCTGGGTGACAGAGCAAGACTCTGTCTCAAAAAAAAAAAAAAAGTGTTCTCAGTGGAGAGTGACATGATCTGATGTACATTTTTATTTATTTATGTTTTTTGAGATGAAGTCGCACTCTGTTGCCCAGGTTGAAGTGCAGTAGCACGATCTCAGTTTATTGCAACCTCCACCTCCTGGGTTCAAGTGATTCTCCTGTCTCAGCCTCCTAAGTGGCTGGGACTACAGGTATGTGCCAGCATGCTTGCTGATTTTTCTATTTTTTAGTAGACAGGGTTTTGCCATGTTGGCCAGGCTGGTCTCCAACTCCCGACCTCAAGCGAACCGCCTCCCTCTGCCTCCCCAAGTGCTAGGATTATAGGCATGAACCACCGTGCCCAGCCCTTAGAACCCTTCTTGCCACTCCGAGAATCAAAGCCCCACTTTGGACTTCAAGACCCACAAGACTGAACTCTGCCCTCTTGTCTGTGGTAGACTGTTCACAAAAATGGCCCTTTCCTATGCATACGCCACTTTAAAAATGGGACTTTACAGCTGTTTCCCATCAAGGGATAGACTCTGTTTCTCCATCCCCTGAATCTGTGCTGGCTTTGTGACTTGCTTTGACCCACAGAATATACTGGAAACAACACTGTTCTAAGCCTATGTGTCTGCTCTCTGTCTTGGAACCTTGCTGAGCTGTGATGTGGACAAGCCCAGACCAGCCAGCTAGGTGATGACAGACACATGGCCCAGTCACCCCTACTGCCTCCAAACTGACAGACAGCCAAGCCCCAGAGGAGGAGCTGCCTCTCAGCTGACCACAGATGGATGAGTGAGCTCACAGAAGACCAAAGTATGAGCCAGCTAAGCCCAGACTAAACTCTAGCTCACAGACTCAGGGGGCAAATACATGGTTGGTGATTAAGCCACAGAGCATTAGGGTGGTTTGTTATACAGCAAAAGCTAACTGACACATGTTCCTATTATATCCCATGGGATTCTCCTTTAGCTGGCTGGCCACCTTTTTGTTTCTGGCACATGTCAAGCCCTTTCTTGGGGGGCAACAGGGAGGGTATAAGCTATACACACATGGAAATGCTCCAAAGCAGAGAGCTTGATTCACCTAGCTCCAAAGCTCTCTCTTCCCCAGGCTTCTTCATCTCAGTAAACAGTCATGCCATTCACTGTGTTGCTCAAGCCAATAGCCTGGGAGCCATCTTTGATGTCTCTCTCCCCTCCCCATCTAATCCATCAGTACCAAGGTCCTTGGTACCTGCTGTCCCCTCTGCCTGGAAAGAGCTTCTTGTGGCTGACTCCTCCTTCTTCGGGGCTCAGCTCAAAGGTCATCTTCTTGGTGAGCCTTCCCCAAGTACCTTATCTAAGATTCCTCTGTACCCCTCCTTCTTCCTAGTTACTTTCACCCATGTTTACTGCCTGTTCACAATCTGTAAGCTATTACTTTGTTCTTTAACACATTTATTGTCTATCTCTCATGCTAGCATATAATCTCCATGATCCCTTTCCTGCTTACTGCTGTGTCTTCTGTACCAAACACAAAGGACTTAACATAAAGCAAGCACTCAACAAGTATTTTCTGAATAAATGAAAGAGGTAAGGAGTTAGGAGGAACAGCAGGTAATAAGTAATGAATCCTAGTGTCTTGCTTGACGTCTTGGAATTCTTGGTTGGTTATTGTCCTCAGATGCTGAGAACACTCTGAGTTCTCAACAAAGATGGAATGCAATGGGGCTAAGGGCTATGATGAGCAAGTTGGAGGGCTTCTGGAAGGGAAGAGGCACTCACCTGCTGTATGGCGTGGAGCAGCGGGGAAAAGAGGTCAGTGTCATAGGTGGAGTGTTTGCCTTGCAGCACAGCCACCAGCCTTTCCAGGCCCATTCCTGTGTCCACATGCCACTGGGGCAAGGGCTGCAGGCTTCCATCTGCCTCTCTGTCCAGGGAAGGTGTGCAAGATGAGGCCCCACCCAGGATTACAGGTGTGAGATGCCCAAGTGGAGTAATGTTGGGTGGCGGGGAGCCTAAGGGGGCTGACAATGGGAGGAACCAGACAATGCGTATCTTCCCCTGCCACCCTGCAGTAGCAGATGATGATGGCCTTGGGGTCCTGTCCTTTCTCATATAGGGCTATCTCCACTCTCACCCCTGCTTGGGCTCTTGCCTGGGCAGCAGACATCCCATCTTGGGACAGAATTCTTTGCCCCTAGAAAGACATGTCAAGGCTAGAAGAAAATCTGAGATCATCAAGTTCAACTTAACTTGTTGATCATCAAGTTCAACAGAGAATAGCAGTGACTTGTTTAAGCTGTCACAGGCAAAGACTACAATTAAATCAGTTATTATCTACAAGGTGATGAGAATTGTGCCTGGCACATGGTAAGCATCATTTACGTGTTTGTTTTTATACGAAACAGATCAAAGTCTTCTAATTGCCACCTTTTCCACTTCTAGCCAGGGATTCTCGTCCTGCTTCCGCACCCCCTTACCTGTTGTGTTGCATGAAGACCAGGTTCCAAAGTTCTACCAGCTGGGGGGCTCCCACCCCACCAGCAAGGTCATAGTGGATCTCGGTACAGGGTCCACAAGGGCCGGTATTCCCCATCTCCCAGAAGTTCTCTTGTGGTCCAAAGGAAAGCACACGAGTAGCAGGCACCCTGAGGAGAAAGGCAGGCGAGTGGTGAGAGATAGACAGACCCAGAAGCTGGGACCCTCTCTGCCACGAGAGCCCCTCCCTCAAGTCGAAGCTCAGCAAGAGGAAGAACAGGGCTAAGTCCACAGTATCCTGGAATGAAATGCTGAGACTCTGAGGATTGGTGCTGGTAGTCTCCATTATCCAGTCCTTCTGCCCTCCAGGAATGAACATAAGTAGGGGGTTGACTTACCCTAAGCTCAGCCAAATGTCCCTGGTCTCCAGGTCTGGCTCCAACCCTGCCTTAGGGTCACCATCAAAGTAGGAGACCCAGAGCCTTTCCGTAGGGATCCCATAGACCTGAGTCAGCAGTTCCCAGGCCATGCTACATGCCTCCTCCTGCAGCAGAAACCAGCATGGGGTCGGGGGAGGAAGATGGGTGAGATGGAGACCCCACTGAAGTAATCAAGCCACATGAGTTTAGCCCCCCACTTAAGACAAAAGCATTTCTGCGGCCATCTTGTTCCCAGAATAAGCCATGAACCATTACTGCCTCTGAGTGTTTACTGCCCAGAAAGCTTCCCCTTCTTCTAAATCCTATCTTCTTTCAAGTCCCAGAACAAGTCCCACTTTCACATGAAATTCACTGCCTACTCTAGCCTGGAGTGATCTTTAACTTTAGTAAGTACCTTAGCATTGCTATTTGACCATTTGCTCAAACAACAATTTTTGAGTAGTCATTAGGCAGGAAGCACAGTCTCTGCCCTTGAGGGACTTACAATCCAATCAGGGAAGCGAGGTAATTCCTGTTACACCTGCTCAACTAGCACTTTGCCTCCACATCTGGTATTAGGCCCTGCCTAAGCAGACAGTACAATGGAAACAGGACAAACTGACTCCCTTCTTGGCTGATCAATGCTCTCCAGAGACTCACCTTAAAATATTCACCCCCAAAGGCCCAATTGCCAAGCATTTCAAAGAAGGTATGATGGGAAAGGTCTCGACCCACATCTTCCAGGTCGTTATGGCGTCCTCCAGCTCTCACACATTTCTGGCTGTTGGCCACACGTCGGAAGCCTGCCATTTCGCTTCGTGGATCCACGGTGCCCAGAAAGATTGGCTTGAACTGGAAGCACATAGAGTGGGGAGGAGGAGAGGGATATCGCAATTTCTCAGTAGAAGGGAAATGTGGGGAGTGGGTTTAGGGATGGCTGTTCAGACCGAAGGCTGACGGTGCCCCCGAGAGTGCATTGTAATCTTGGTCTAGGAGGACAACCTGGGAGCCTGGAGACAGCCATCTCTGGTATGTGGGGAGCACAGAAGAGGTAAATAAATCATGAACCGGAGACCCTCTGGTAGTAAAATGGGCAAGGTAAAAGGAGGAATGTGTTGGGAGCTGGAAACAGGGCACTGAAATGTGGCATCCTCCGTCCTCTGTCTCAGCTTCTTCAACCACACCCAATAACTTCAGGGTACAAAACTAAGACTTATTTAGTAGGGATCCCAGACGGCCTCTAAGATTAACTTACGCCGCCCCTATTTTACAGATGAGGACAATGAAGTCTAGAAAAGGTAAGTGGCTGATAAAAATCAAAAGCTTAGAGAATAGTACTCAGCACACAACAGGTGATCAATAAACATTTAATGAAAGCGTTATCTTTATTTAAAGAGCGAATAAATGAAAGGGGATTTCCCCCACCAGTCTGCCCCCACGGGATTCCACTCCAGCCATTTCTGGACCTAATACTCAATTCCAATTCAGAAGTTCCCAGTTCAAGCCCTCCCCAAGCCCTCCCTATACTCTGAGCGCCGTACCCCCCACTTTACCCAACCAAGCACCGCCCTCTTTCCCCAAAAGCTACGAACTCCGCCTCTCGCTTCTTTTGCCCATCCTGCAGCGTCTTTCTCACCGGAAAACTCACAAACTCCGCTCCCTATCAGTATGGTTCGGCCCTCACCTGGTTCATGCCCGCGTTGACAAAAAGCAAACTGGGGTCGCCGCGGGGCCGCACGGAGGCGGAGGGCACCAGCCGGTGGCCATGGCGGTCCCGAAAGAAGTTCAGAAAGGCGGCCCTCACGGCCGAGGCCTTGGCTGCAGGGGGCTCCGATGAGAGCGGCCGATGGCTGGGGCCCCGCCATGCGGACGACCTTCGAATGGCCCGCCGCAGCCGCCGGGCTGCAGCTGCCACCGACGCTGCCATCTTAGCTCCGGGCAGTGACTTTACGGGGTCAAAGAGTGACGAGGGAAGGAAGCCAGGCGTTTCCTACAGCGGCCCCTGGCTGTAGGAGGACTCAGGGGGCGGCTCTGCCGCCGGTGTGGAAGTAATCGATTGGGTCGCTGGCAGAAGTCGATCTAGCACAGCGCCTGGCACATAGTAGGTTTTTAATTCATTCGGCATTAAACACATATAGAGAGCCTACTATGTGCTAGGCATTGTTTTGGGCGTTTAGGGTACAAAATTAACAAAATGCCCTGCCCATTGAAATCTGTATTCTAGCAGTAATTGCTGTTGTGCTTATTAGTTTTGCAAAGTTACAGATAGGGTTGCAATAAACAAGTGTGGATTCAACTTCGTGTGTGTGTGTATGTGTGTGTGTGTGTTTGTGTCGGTGTTTCCAGGCTGAGGGAAGAAGGCAGAGAGTGACAGGGGACTATCAGCATTCCTTCAAGAGATATTCAACAAATAGTTTTTGAAGACCTAGTATGTGCTAGGCAACGTTCTAGGCATTTGCCAGTTCCTTTGGACCTTGGCATCAGACACCGCCATTTTGCCCTTGAAGCAAGAGTCTATAGGAGAACACAGAAACCAAACAGCATCTGCTATATTATTAATTGCCTAACATTTGGTCTTGTCATTTGCCTGGGGATCAGAGAGAATCCAGGTCATCAAGGCAGGAGGAAGCTGTTGGCTGATAGCTGCAGAGGTTTCACTCTCTAAACCTTCTAATGCACTGAGGTTTTGTGTGTTTTCGTTTAAGGTAAGAGATATACCCGTCCTACCTCTCCCTTCTGTCTTTCCATAGTAGCAGCTGTGACCCTGAAGCCAACAGGTCCTTGTGGATGCAATCAGGGTGCTCATGGGGTTTCTCATGATGCCCTTGGCTTGGAAAATTAAACAGATTGGGAAGAGAGAAGAGAATCTGCCAAGCTAAAACTCAATAGAGGTTCCAGCGCTGAGGTCAGTGTAATAATGGAGAAGGCCTTAATCATCCAGGTGGTCTGTTTTAGCCACCATTCTGTGTGTGTTAAGTTATTTGGAGTCTTTGGATGCATAGTTTCTTTGGGGAATCGACATTGGACTTGAATTTTTATAGTGATAGTAAATTCTCAACTTTGTATTCTGACAGCACCTATAACTCCTATTCCATGATCCCCTTTTTCTCCCTTTGCCTACATAGATTAAAGGTATTGTTTTGAAAGTGTGTTTGGCCTATTTTGGTTTTTCCAGTGTTTCTGGAACAGGAAGCTAAAATCAGTTGGGGATTTCTGTGAGATTGATGATTTTTGTTTTGTTTTGTTTTTTAGATGGAGTTTCGCTCTTGTTGCCCAGGCTGGAATACAATAGCGCAATCTTGGCTCACAGCAACCTCCGCCTCCTGGGTTCAAGCAATTCTCCTGCCTTAGCCTCCTGAGTAGCTGGGATTATAGGCATGCACCACCATGCCTGGCTAATTTTGTATTTTTAGTAGAGATGGGGTTTCTCCATGTTGGTCAGGCTGGTCTTGAACTCCTGACCTCAGGCGATCTGCCTGCCTCGGCCTGCCGAAGTGCTGGGAATACAGGCACGAGCCACCGCGCCCAGCTGAGATTGATGATCTTTAGACAAGACTGTGAAATTATTTCCCAAACTGAGATGGGAGTGTTTTGTCATACAAACCTGGTGGGGCCTCTACTCAGTACTGACATCACCTTTTTTTTTTCAGATTTTGCCCAGAAAGTCGTTGTGTTATATTAGAAACTCCAAACTTGGATCTAGTATGGAGCCATATAATTTTTTAAAACAGCTTTATTGAAATATAATTTACATACTATACAATTCACCCATTTAAATAAAGTATACAGTTCAATGCCTTTTAGTATATTTACATAGAATTGCCCAACCATCACCACAATCCCTTCTAGAACATTTTCATTACTTCCAAATGAAACCCCAAATCCTTTAGCCATTAACCCCCAATCGTCTCATCCCTCCTAGCCCTTGGCAACGACTAATCTACCTTCTGTCTCTACAGACTTGTATATTCTGGACATTTCATGTAAATGGAATCATATAATATGTAGTTCTTTGTAACTGGCTTCTTTCACATAAAATAATGTTTTCAAGGTTCATCTGTGTTGTAGCATGTACCTTGGATTTTTAGAAAAATGTTTTTAGTTGTTTTCTGTTTGAAGTAGTTTTTTCTCTCATCTTATTTTGTCTTTGCCACTAAAAATGATAATTTTCTTTTCTTTAAATGTGGTGCTCTTTGGTGAATCATTAGGTTCTTTTTAATATTTCCCAGTGAAGCAAAGTGGTTCATGTAGGATTGGGATGTGTCTGTTCTGGTTTGCAACTGTCATCTGATGAGGAAGTTAAACTGAAGGCCTGCAGCTTCCCAAGATAGATGGAGGTGGAGAAAACTCATCAGACAGGGAAGTTACCAACCCTGGGAACTTCTCTGAAGGGTACTGATCCACTGTCTCAGTATTTGTGGGAATTTCATTTTGAGGTTTAACATGCAAATAGGGTCTGCTTTTTGGGAGTTACTCAGCTGGGTTTTGTGAGCAACGTTTGGGGTGCTTCTTTCATTGTTTAAGACAGTGGTGTTTTATCTTCCCTGGAGTTGGGATTTTCCCTTATGTTGCCATTTGACCTACTTATCTTGGTACGTTCAAGGCATTCAGCCATTCTTTGTGCTTTCCGTTTCACTTGTTTAAAAGATGTAACACTCTTATTCTAGGAGTAGAAAGTGTCCTTTCTGATTTCCCCACTGGCTTTGAGAGCAAGACCCCAAGATCGGTGAGACATTCTGTCCTGGATTGATGGTCAGAGAAGATAGGAGGGAATTTTCACTCTTACTGAGCATGGGGAACTCAACTTTGGGAATTTCCTCTTATAAATCATAAAAGCAGTCTTTTAGCGTCTAGGTTAAAAAGTCAACCTACGAGAGGTGTTTCTGGTTTGATGTGTTTATTTATGGCATTGGCTTATCTGGATTGTGAAAGCAACCAACACTTGTCAAACATTAATATGCATATGGATCTCCTGCTATCTTGTTAAATGTGCAGACTATGATCCAGTAGGTCTGGAGTGGGTGAAATTCTGCATTTCTAGCAGGCTCCCCGGTGATGCTGCTGCTGTTGCTAGTCTACTAGACCACACCTTGAGTGACAAGGATGTAGTCAAGGACTCGTGAGGGGAGTCTGGACACAGGCTTTAGGAAACGTTCTTTTGTCTGGTCCTGGGGCCTAAGACTTAGGTGCCCTTAGGTTCTCCCTTTCTCCTAGGAGGGGTGCTCACCGAGAGTTGGTGGGTGTAGCTGGGAGCTCACTGTGCGCAAGAACGCTCGCCCCCTTCCCTCCCCCAGCTTCTTAGGGAATTGAGGTTGGTGACTGCGTCCGCCTGTGGCTTAGAGACATGGAGGTTAATGTGGACCAGGGTGGAAGGGGAGCGGTTACCGTGGGAATCTGGCAAAGTCATCAGAGCACACCAGTGGCTGTTGGAGCCCCTCGATCAGGAATTCAAGTATTGGTGGACCCTTGAGGGTCTCAATTCTAGAGGTTTATCCTTATGCATTAAAAAAAATACTGTAGTTACATTTTATTTATTTTTATTTTATTTTATTTTTATTATTTTTGAAAGAGATGGGGTTTCGCTATGTTGCCCAGGCCAGTTTTGAACTCCTGGTGTCAAGCGTTCCTCACGCCTCGGCCTCCAAGGTAAACGTTTTAAATGGTTATAGAAATACCTACATAACAACTTCGATTTTGCCTCTTGGCCTGGAAAGCCTAAAATATTTAATATGTGGCCCTTTTTATAAAAAGTTTGCCAGACACTACAACAGAGATTTTTTAAAAATCACACCATAAAACATAGATGCAGAAAATCAACCAAAACAAATGTTGACTTGTTTCAATGTTGTTAATTCAAAGGCAGACATCTTTGTATCCACCACCCAGGTCTTGAAATAGAATTTTGCAGCCACCCCACAGCCCCTCCATGGATTCTGCCCTGCCCCCAACCATCTTCCTTCTCCCAAAGGTGACCGTTACCCTGACTTTCATAGTAATCACTGCATTTTTTTTTTTTTTGAAATGGAGTTTCATTCTTGTTGCCCAGCCTGGAGTGCAATGGTGCGATCTTGGCTCTCTGCAACCTCCGCCTCCCAGGTTCAAGCAATTCTCCTGCCTCAGCCTCCGAGTAGCTGAGATTACTGGCACCCACCACCATGCTTGGCTAATTTTTGTATTTTTAGTAGAGACGGGGTTTCACCATGTTGGCCAGGCTAGTCTCGAACTCCTGGCCTCAGGTGATCCACCGACCTCTGCTTCCCAAAGTGCTGGGATTACAGGTGTGAGCCACCGAGTTCGGCCTGCATTGCATTTCTTTACAGTTTATCACCCAAATGTACATCCTTAGACGTCACAGGCTTGCACGTGTTTTAAAAAAGCATATCGACTTGATATTTTACATCCTTTTATCGATAGGTTCCATCTCCATCCTTTTCCTTACAGTATATCTATTGCATAGCTAGGGAGATTTGATCTGTGGTTTCCCACAGTCTAGGTTTTTGCTGACTGCATATTCGACATTCAACTCACATTCAACATGTTCCTCTGTCTTCTCTATTTCATGCAAATTAGCACCTGGATGTAGAGATTTGATTAGACACAATTTTGAATCCCTTTGGCAAGACCATAGATGCTCCTTCACCAGAGGGTACATCAATGTTTGGTTGTCTGTATTTCTGTGATCTTAGCAGGCCCTGATAACATAATGCCTATATCTGTTAACTCACTGGAAGGTGCAACATGGTGATATGTTAATTCTATTATCTCTTTTTCATTTATTAATCGGAGTCTTTTCATGAAGAGATGCTTCCCCTAATCAATTATTTGTTAACCAGTGGTATAGTTAATGTAGAAAAGGCTACATGCTTGATTTTTCCCCCTTTGATTATCAGTGTTCAAGATAATAAATTTGTTCCTATCACTCTCCAAAAGTGAGCTATTATTATACTTTCAGCATCATTGT